CCCTCCCCTAAAACGTTCCAGCGTTGCAGGTAACTGATGCAGAGACCCACTTCCCTCTTGGTCATGTCTCGCGAAACAGGGCTGGAGCCACTTGAAATGCTGCGGACTCTATCTCGCTGAGAAGGGCAGGCATGACTTGGGCTAGGTGCGTCAAGCTTCGCCCAACTGCTTTTATCTCGAGGACGTATCTCTCAGGTAGCCGCGGGATATCTCCGAAAGTGAGCAGTAACCGCAGAGGTGTGGAACCTTCGCGACTCATAAGAGTATGACAAGTGGGCTAGGAACTCGTGACTGAAAGTCTGGCCACGCCCCCATAAGCAGAAAAAGTCGCTTGGCTGGTAGCGATAAATGAGATAGCGCTGATTCTAGTAGCGAAAGTGACACTAAAGTGCAAGGGAGAAGATTGACAAGATACGGATGGACGAGAGTTAACGCTCCGCGTCCAGTTTTTCTTATTTTTCTTGTCTATCGCCGAAAATTAGCTGCAAAAATCAGAGTCTCATTCTATCAGACCTAGGCAGTTTAATTCGGTTTTGTTCGCCGTTGACGGACATTTCGCGCCTTCTCATTCCTTTTTAAGCGCGATAAATCTCCGCTTATCTCTGAGGGAATGCGCCCTTAATCTTCCTTCCCCGTTGTTCCTAAGTCCCTGCCATGGAAAAAAACTATTCTCAACTTGGAAGACCTTCATCACCATAACACAACGCGACGGTCTTTCAGTGAGTCGTCACTGTGAGGGAATTAAAAAACCCGCAGAGTTACAGATTCACGACTAGGCCCATGGAACACTGACCATTTGATGAGAATTCTGAGCTCTTGGCAAAAACCTTGACCCCAGGCAGGACTCGAGTTCGCACATCATTCTTCTCGGGTTTCTCAGGCGAATCCCGAGTGACCATATGACTGACCACATGTATGTGAATCCAGCTGGTCTACCAGATGGTGCTGTAAAATGCCGCGGAAGATGAGATCGTTTTTTGCCGTAAGAGGGCTCAATCGTAAGGTGCCTCGGGTAGACAAGGAAACGGCGGGACAGCTGCTCTGAGAGCCAGATAGCGCAGCCTATACGATTTTGAGAGCCTCGCTAGGCATGGCGTCGCTAACCACAAGTGTGGGGGTTCAAGCTTTATTGCTGAGGTCCTTCCTAGGCTTATGGAGTGATAGGTCTTAAAACCCAAAACGTTCTCAGGTTCTGGCGGAACTCCGTTTTAGGCATGATACACGTGTGTAGGAAAGTTCCTTATGAGCGAGTACTACTTTCATGGCATTATGCGTGCTGGGATTGTATCCAAAAGCGTACAAACCCTCGCCGAGACGTTTTAGACTCACCGGGAGCAAAGCAGGAATTTTCTTAGGGCTCGTTGCACCACTTGCCCCCAGGACAAGTATTCCGTGGTCTACATGTTCGCTAGTTGTTACGCAAAACCAGTCTTTGACTTAACAAAATCTCGAACAAGGAAGGGCGCCCGGGAACTCTATTGCTTACAACTCTGGGGAGATCTTGAAGAAGTTGCACCCACCAACGTCCTTTCACCGTCCTATGCACCACCCTTCATCACCTTCCGCGCTACTGTACCTCCACAGCGCTCGCCGTACCTTCGCCATTCTGCCACACTGAGCCATACGATTTGTCAGTCGACGGTGGGGGGAAAACGTCTTCGATGAGCTTTACCTGGAAACATGCATGAACGGAATGATGACCATCCATCATCTCAAGCGATACATCGCTGCAATCGCGGCGATGTGTGAGCGTAAACCGCAAACGGGATTTCCATGGCCACCGTTCACACTTCCTTCACGACAACTTAAGTTCAGCTGATAGTCCCAGGTGTCCCACCTAATGGTTCGAGTGTTTTTTGTCGTCTTGGGCTGGCAATCCTAGGGCAAAGGACTCAAAAGGCTAGATGGGCACTTCCGCTATTAGCGTCATACTCGAAGAATTACCCTTTTTTTGAAATCGGCCCACCAACCCCGGGATCAGCTACGACATGAATCCTGATGTTTGTTACAGCCCAAAAGCATGTTATTTCTACGGCAATTTCAGTGTTGCTTAAGGATTCCTTGGCGCTGTTCGGGATAGAGGGGACCTTGCACTCTTTCTGGCTCCTTTTCTAGTTCACCTTAACTAACAGGTCTCATTTTAGTGAAACCTGTAAGCTCTTGTGAAATTGCGGAATTTTACAAATGAGCAACCTTGGTTACAAGAATTTGCAGGTGTTTATATGGTGATCTGTACAGGCTTGCTTGAAACTACTCGGTGCCCCCACCAGGCCGATCTGCGTCTATTCTTTTCTATACCCTTCTGCCACCAAAAATCATTAGCGCCGCCATCTAGTGAATATCACACTCCTAGACTCCCGCTCTCCACCTCCAACTCACCCCTAAAGTACACGTCACAACCAGCGCATAACATCATTGTATGGCGCCCATGTTGGAGGTGGGGGGGGTCAAAAGGCTACATGTGCACTACCGCTATTAGCGCCACTCATATAGAATTACCCTTTTTGGAATCGGCTCACCAACTCCGGGGTCTCTTCAAGCTTCGGCAGCAGTCCCAAGGTTTGTTACTGCCAGAAATTCTAACGTTCTTTACGGCAATTTTGGTATTGCCCAAGGATTCTTTGGCACTGTTCGGGTTAGAGGGGTACTTTGCACTTTCGGCTAGTCCCATTTGCCCAGGAAGCTGATCAACACTTGGTGTACATCCACCCAACGGTTTCCAAGTAGTGTAGTGCTTGTAAAAGGGCGGGGGGGGGTAGCCTGGAATTAACTACTCGCGATGATGAAGGAATGCGAGAGGTTCTGGAAGCAGTTCCTTGAGCTACTGTTGTTTTTTCAACTTGCAAGAGTGCTTGTACCCCCCTCCGCCCTTCTACCCACCACCTTTTTCACAGTAGCGGTGGAAATCGGTGGTGGGAAGGGGGGAGGGGGCGAATGTGTAATGTATGTAATGTAATCCATTGTAAGTATGAGCCATTGAAGGACTTCCTGTATCTCGTTAAAGAGTTTCCAAACCGCAACTTGAGTTTGGATCCAGGGCGCGTCGTAGGTTGGGGATCCCGCAAGGGGGTCGTATTTGGTTGCCATAGAGAGCGGCCTTTGAGGGGAACGTTTTTGGTTCCTAACTTTCCTAGGTTTTTCTCGTTTAAGAGCGCCATCTACTCCCTTCCCACGCTCGCGCTACACGCTATCCGCCGTTCCAGAGTGCTCTACCCCAGTACAGCACTCTGGAAGGGCGGGTAACGTGTAGAGCGGGCGTGGGAAGTGGTAGATAGCGGTACAGGTAGGGGGTACAACACTCTGGAAGAGGTAACGGCGGTAGGAATGTGAGAGTAGTTCTTCTAAACCCTCCTTCTGTGGGAGGTACTGACATCGCCATTCACTTCCATAGTTTTCCTTTCCCATGATTTTTTTCATGGTTACAACAACTCTCTGAGCAAGCTGGATGTGCTAGCCAGTCCCACTGTCCCGGAATTTGCCCGTTTGCATCGCTTAGCGCTTCTATCTCGTTCCCTTTACTTTTTTTATTTGTCGTATCATTCATTTGACGTAGCTTCTCTAAAAAACAGCCATTGTAACGTCATCGTTGGTTTGTTAAAACCACTTCATTGTCTCGTTAATGAATGAGTGTGTCTTTTCGATTGGTTTTACGACAAACGTCGTCGGTTTTTGCGTACTTCACGGACGAGCGCGAGCGAATCGCCGCCGCCATTTTAGCTCATCCCCGACGACGGATAACCTTGGTGTGGTTGTTTCAGTGAACGTCCAGATGCGATAGATGCAGCGTATTCTGCTTGCCGCACTTGTCGGCATTACATCAGCGGCTGCTGTTGATCCACTATGCTCCGTATATGATCCATTCAAAGTTCTACCCGATAACAACAAGGTCAGTTTGCTTTACCTTTCTTCAGCTATAGACCATTATTGGGGTAGTCCGGCGACGTGGGGGGGGGGGGGGCATTTAGCACGTTTGCTACTTCCCACCGATGTGACGATCCATCTAGAAAGCTCTTTCGTGAGCTGACAGGTTTTACCGTTTTGGCTCGACGAGTTCGCTTCACCTTCACAAGAGTTCACACGTTCACCAGAGTGAGACTTGTAAACCGGCACTAGTGAAGCAAGAAAGTGCGAAAAATTCCCCCCCTTTTACTGCGCCCATTCTTGTTATGCTTATTTTTTATTCATAGGACTTGGTTACTGTATCTCAATGACTACACTTTGTACCCCATGGTGAGAAAGGTCACAATTACGGACTCATTATCAGTGGAGCGCGTGACCAGGGTAGAGCATCGTGATGTGGTGGATTGGTAAATGTCAGTACGACCAACCCAATTCCTCCCGCCCAGCCCCGCCGAAGGAGTATCTCGGGTACAATCTGCGCCCTTTTAAGCCACTTATCTAAAGTTTTCCTACATGTTCGCAGCTTCCTACCATTTTTTTGTGGAATTTTCCGAAAATTTGATAATTTTTCCTCAAGAATTTTCCGTCGGGCAGGCGAGAGGAGGAGGTTGTCAGGAACCAACTACTATGCTCAATTATCGGAAATATATGGTTGTATGGAACTTTGGAGGCGGCCAGCTCACGTGTGGAGGTGAGGGTCTTTTCCGAAAAGGCACACACGCCCTCCCCGCCTTTCTCGTCAACAACGACCAAATACGACGCCGGCTCCCCCTCTTGCCCAGTGGCCAAAGTACGAACTGCCCCATATGTTTAACCAACGATGGCGATGCCGCCTGCGCGTGACAGCGATTTCGGACAATTTTCCTCCTCCTTCCCTAGGAAACATGCGGCTTTGTCATGGCTTCACTTTATTTCGTTGAGTGTTATTAGGTTTCAAATGGCAAGAGAGGCAAACTTTTTTTCCGTGATGAAACCAACCAAATTTTCCCAAAAGTCGCTGGCCACTGTGCTCCAGTAGTCGCCAGTCACGACTCCATCTAAACTCCCGTATACGAAAGTGTATAACGGTTCAAATTCAACGATAAATAGCAGGCGGGGTGGGCACATTCAAGGACGATCCCTTGTTGGCGAATTTTGCTATACTCCCGCTATTTTATACTCGCTAAATTTTCCCGCAACCGCAGCCGTCCACAGATACGCGATTTGTCTAACATTTTGAAAACCACCACTAAAAGACCCAAAGGTTGGCCAATAGCTCAGGAGGAGGAGGGGATCTGAAGACTTGTGCAATAACTCAAAATACGCATAGTGGAAACAGGGTACAGCATCGTTGTGTGAAACACGTGGGGGAGTCGCTAGTTGGCCAGTTGGAGAAGGGTCGTAGGCTGGCTGTTGTTGGGAGAGGGGGAGGGGGTATTGTATGTGCATTTAAGAAAAATTTGCCGCATTGGAAAAAATTTTTCCCGGTTGTTGACTTTTCGCAGTTTTCCCCCTTTCACATTGGCTATATATCCCTCCCCCACTCCCGCTGGGCAGCAAATTCTTAGGAAAAAAATAGGGAAATTTCGCGGAGATTGGGAAACAGGGGAGGGAGTATCAAAATCATCTTTAGGTGGAAGGGGAGGGGTCGTACTGACGCCTACCATGACACATCGCGATACTCTGCACCCTGCTTGCAGACAAGGAATTCCATTCCCGCTAAGAGAGCGAAGGAGCTTCCTGTGGGTGGACAGATTTAGAATACGGTAATTCCACCCGGGATGATGGTTATATCAGTTTTCCACGGGAGAGTTGGCTCTAGATGCTGCTCCAAAGCTACAAACGCCTGAAATTCCAATATTTCAGGGGACTTCCGGGGGGAGGGGGTCAACTGGGGTCTAGTACATGGTTTCTGTAAGAGGTAATGTACAGTATGCCTGATGTAAACTCTAGAAATGCACCATTTATTCCAATTTTCTTTGAAATAACTACTAACCAATACTGATGAGGATTTCAGCTGTTGAGCAAAAGGCTGCTTTCATTTTTACCTTAAACTTATGTGCAGGGTTTGGCCTAGAAGGTTCTCATCGTTATCTGGCCTTATCTGGCTTCCACACTGGCTTTCTTAGAACAAACAGCTTTCAAAGCGAATGCTCAATGAACCCCATAACATCCTGTTTTCGGGACGACAAGATATAGCCCTCAAGAGGCTCCGCAACCACTTGGGCTATTCTTGATCGGGATCTTGTCCAGGCCAAGCAGCTATTTATCGGGGTGAGCTAGAACCGGACTCGACCAATGGGATCAATTCGTTGACATCAACATCAGCCGATTCCTGCCGATTACTGTACAGGGCTTTGTATTCACGATCCACACCCTGAACAGAGTGCGTGGCGCGATCTAATGGAAATGGATCGCGAGAAACAACCTCATCCCTTGCCCTTTACTCTTCTGCGCCCCAATTTCTCCTCTTTCCTTCTTTGCAGAGGCCAAATACGAAAGAAAAGAGCCGCTTTTAGATTTTCTCATACGATTATTACACCGTTAGAAAGATGATGATAAAGTAATTCGCCCAAGTGAAGTGACAGGTCTCATCGGCACTGACTCCATTAACGTTCCCTCGGTAACGTTCTCACAAGGAATTTTTCAAAAGCACTCCAGATACGCGTCGACAAGTCAACACAACGAGCGTGTGCGTGTCCTTGCGCTAAATTTGAACTAAAAGGGCCATTTATCCCATTACCGTAATCCCCTCTGAGAAGGCGCCAGGTCTGGTTCCAAGTTGATTCGCACCAATATTCCCATTCGCACGTCGATTTTTAGGGATTTTCAGAATCTCTACCTTCTTGGATATGAAAAGGATTAGATCACAGAAATACTGTAGAAAATGCGCCATGCGTTCGATATTCGGTCCAATTTGCTGAGGGCATTCGAAAAGTTATGGTCCATGGCAAGGCTTCCTAGAGTTTCATGGCAGATAACCATCCCAGCCCTCGAGCTTTCGGCGATTCCACTGCCAGCTGAAAAGGATAAAGGATAAAGCCCTCGTCGCTGATCAATCCTTTTCTGGAACGTGACTCCTATGCCACTTCCATTTCAAATAGCAGCGGCTCATTG